TCTCGTCCAGTGCTAATCGGCTTCCAAATCAGTTTGTTTGAATAGAGTCATTGTGGGATAGAATATACCAGGTATGTATCCCTTCCTTTGGCATTCCGCGTCGTGCGCACGTCGTCGTCGCGCCCGTCTGCTGCGGCGGCGGGTCTGAGGCGTATCCAGGCTCTGCGATGTCGTGCATGTATATGCAATTACCATGAGGCTGACGATGTTGGATAGGATATACCGCCCTTCTCCCGATAGATCTGCTTTGGGCATCGAGCTCCGCGTCGCGTAATTCTCTAGACAAAGTTCTGTTAACTAGGTAAGCAGAGTCAGCCTTTCTTTATATCTTTTCCTTACTGCAGCTGCTCTCTTCGGTGTGAGCGTCCCTGCATACGGTTCTCAGGCGCGCTGTTCGGGGGCGAGTGGTGTTGTGGAAGATGTCGGGGTATGTACCGGCGTTGGCGGAGTTGAGGTTGTGCGGGAGCAGGTCAGCGCCGTCAACACCACGCACTGCATCACGACTCTGGACATGCAGAAGCACCCTATTCGCCTCGGAAGAGTCTCTGTAGGATGTCATGACGGGTAGAGTTGCTTGCATCAAGTTCTCGGGGGTGTCCAGATGGTGTGTGTGGGCGGGGCGACAGCAAGCCAACTCTCCTGAGCATTGTCACTCGAACAGCAGCATCATCTCATTCTACGTTCCTACGAGGAGGATCATTGGGAGCAATTCAAGCTTTCTGCTGTCTTCATCCTGTTATTCTTCAGCGTGGCCTCTTCCTGGCCCCTATGTTCATTGCTAAGACGACTGGCCGACAGTAATCTCTAAAGCCATCCGTGCACGGCGTTCCTGCCTCGAGCATCGCCAACGGTCTTTCCTCCAGCGCTTCAAGGCGGTAATCAAGCCAGCTGACTGTCGCCTTTCGGTGCTGGCTCGTAAAACCCCGCTGCTGGCGTCGTTTTCTGCTTCCTTCTTCCTCCACCACCATCTTTCCCATCATCTCACTCCCACAACCCTCACCACGCCCTGCATCCGATTCTGCTTGCAGGAGCGGTTGCTTCACGGCTTTCTACCACCCCTAAACGTCCTGAAGTGCCGCATCAACACCATACACGCTGTCTTCAGGTCGTCAAGTACGCATCTAGCGATAGACACATCTGCTTCCGAAATCTACAGTCCAGGTATGTATTCTCATCTCATCTCATCTCACCACCTTCCGCTTCTCGGGCACGTCCGGCGCTCCCGTTGTTTGCATCGTGGTCTGGCCGCATGCCATCAGAGTGCCCCGCCCTTCACCTACGCTGGCTGGCCACCTTCACCGTTTGCCCCCACGTATGCCCTCACGTCTACCTTCACCGCTGCCTTTACCTCTCTCACCTTTAATACCCCGCTCCTTATCGCCCCTTCTGATGACGTCGGCGCTAACATACTGCGCGTTTGCGATTAGAGGTGAAGGCGACATAAAGACACACTACCCGCCTAGACATTACATCTTCTTACACCCTCGACCACGCAACATAGCATCTACCCTGTGCATCACAGACATCTTCCGTGTGCAGGTAGTGTGCATCAAGACACCCCCCTATTCATCCCCATTCCAACAACTCTTCAAGGTACGTCAAGCCACTGTCCTGTCATCCATGACAAAGAGATCACTGACGTCTTCAAGGTAGACCATCCATGATGAGTAATAACCCTTACAACCGCGGCTTGACCGTCGGTGGTTCAGCGCTCGAGAAGTCGAAGTTGCAACTCCGACGTCCCACCCCTGACAGCGATGTCTTGGCGTCCAGCGACGACGACCGTGAGCACGTACCAGTCGTTACTCGCCCTGCGCAAGGCTCCTACCCTCTTGGAGTTCGACGTCCTTCCTCTGGTTGGCTCCAGGACATCCAGCCCAACCGGAAGTTCTCGCTGCCCTCGGTGTCGTTTGCCGGCTCTCAGCCCACTACGCCGTCACTGGAGCTGCCCCAACAATCGCGGCCTTCCACGTCGTCGTTCCCTTGGAATACGCCTAGCTTCAACGGTTTGAATCGCCCGAATAAAGAGATCGCTCCCTCCCCTACTTCTGCTTTTGCACCCACCGACAAGCCTATCCCCTCTCCCACCACAGTTGAAGGCGACGACGGTAACGGTATTGGCTTTTTGCTCAACCAGCAAGCTCCCAATCCCTTCCGCAAGGCTGTCCGTTCCCAGTCCTATAGCATAGGTCAAGGCGACATCGAGCACAGTCCCGTCAGCCGCTTCTCGCGTCAGCCAAACACCAGCGCCAACCTCCGCCACCGTCCATCCAAGCCCAGCCTTCTTGGTGAGTCCGCTGTCGGCCTTTCGCAGCTGCGTGAAGACGACGCCGACGAGATCGAGTCCTCCAACGGCTCAGAGCACGGAGTCCGCCTGCCCGCCGGTTACTGGGAGCGTGAGCAGAAACAAGCATTGCTCAAACAAGCCGCCATGGAGAACGCTCGCGCCCGCAGCAGGGCTACCTCCACTGGCTCCCCTGTCTCCCAGCTCCAGCAGCAGCGCCGCAAGACGACTGCCGGTCTGCGCAACACCTCTTACAACGCCGCCGGTGAGTATGCCATCGAAGAGCTCGACGACACTGAGCCTGCGGTCAACCGTCCTGCTCCAGGCCTTACCCGTCGCTTCAGCGAGCACGTTGGTGTCCTCAACCGTGATCACGAAGTCGAGATCGTGGACAGCCCTCAGAAGCCCCAGTGGACCACAGGCAACATCTCACCTGCTGAGATGGACCCCCTCGGCCGCCGTCATTCATTCGCCCACTACGGTAGCTACAACTCAGCCATGCCGCTCTCAACCTTGAGCAACACTCAGGAAGAAGAGGAGGAGTACGTCTCACCGCGCCAGAGCCCACGTGGCAACAAGGACGACGAGCCCTTCGACGCCTCTGCCTACTTCACTGGCTACGGCCCGGCCTCGCGCGCTATCAACTCCTCCGCCATCTCGGCAGCTCACCCCGATCCTGTCGTGCCCAACATGGCCATGTCTGCTGGTAACCCCTACGCGGTCCCTCCTAGAATCGGAAACCCCACCCGCCGCTTGTACATTGTCACCTTCAAGTGCTCTCGTGCCGACATCTACTACCTTTACGACAACACCGGCCTCGAGATCCGTCGTGGCGACCTTGTCATCACCGAAGGCGACCGTGGATGCGACCTGGGCCAGATCACACATGCCGACTTGACCATGGAGGAGGCTAAGAAGCTCAAGGTTGATGCGAACGAGGAGCACTTCCGCTGGCTCGTCATGTTCTCTCAGTACTCCCTGGCCGGCACCCAGAACGACTCCGGCATGCTCGGCGCCCTCGCCCGTGCTAACGGATTCCCGAACCCCATGAGCCGTACCCCAGTGACTGCTTCGGGAGAGCCTGAACCGTTCAAGCCGAAGATGATCAAGCGTCTCGCCCAGGCCCATGAGATCTCTGCGCTACGTGAGAAGGAGGGTGGAGAGGCCAAGGCCAAGCGTCTCGGAGCTCAGAAGGCCGCTGACCACAAGCTGCCTATGGAGATCCTCGATGCTGAGTACCAGGCGTAAGTCAAACATGTTCATGTTGCTCTCATCATACTAACATCTTCAGTGATTACCACAAGCTGACCTACTTCTACTACGCCGAGTCGTATGTCAACTTCAACGAGCTCGTCACCGACCTGTTCAAGCAGTACAAGGTGCGCATCTGGATGTCGGCTGTCAACCCTGCCTCCGTCGTCAACCCTGCCGGCATGTCTCAGATCCCCCCGCCTTCTGCTATCGGTCCTGGAGCCATCATCACATCCAACAGCGGCAATGCTTCTTCCTCCGTCGGCCCCGGCTTCGGCTCCAACACCCATCGCCCGGCCCAGCAGTACGGTAAGTCCATCGTCGTCTCCTTGCTACGTGTGTATGATTGCTAACTATTGCTCAGGTCAAGCTCGCACCCAAGGCAACTACGGTAACTACGACGACGGCTTCCATGCGTTCTCCCACCAGATCCCGGCCTACCCTACCCAGCCCTCATACAACATGCAGCCTTGGTCCCACGGTCAGCAGATGCAGCAGCAGATGTACCGTAACTACTACCCCAACGTCACTGCGAGCGGCAGCCCGATGAACTATGGAGCTGGAGCCTACTATCCGCCTTCGACTTACACTTCGTCATACGGTGGAGGGTATGGGCCTGCTACAACTACTGCTGGATACGCTGCCTCGCGCAACTACACCTCCAGTACCGGCCACGCCTTCGGTCATCAGCATCACAACGCGTACAACGGTGGCGCTTCGTACTCTGCTGGCGGTGGCTACACCAACGCCTACGCCAATGCCCAGTACACCTCAGCTGCTCCTGGAGGATACTATGGCGCCTCAGGAGGACGTGGTCGCCCCAACACTGGCGCTGACAGCACCTTGAATGGTGCCATGCACAACTTGTCTTTCGGTAATTGAAGAGAGAATGGACTGTCAGGTCAAGTTCTCTTCAAGGTTTCTTTTCGGTTTTTGATCATTATATGGTATTTCCTTTTCATTTTCCCTTCACCCATGATTCCAAGGCTTATGTAGACTGCCCGGTGAGGCAAGTCATTTCCCCTTCCTGATTTTTCTTGATTTTTCTTGCTTTCACCACCAAAAATTCCCCATGAATGCGTGTATTTTAGTTATATATCATGCCTAAATGGCGAAATGAGAATGCTTCTGGCACCAAAAAACTGTCTTTTGTGAATGTTGTGGTATCTGCCAGGCCCATATATCAGGTTTGAGATGACCCTGCCAAAGATCACTGAATACCTCCTGGCCTAATTTTCGTGAAGTGTTTCAACACCTTGGCTACCTCCCGGCACCCCAGAGATAAAATCCCTGAAGCCCGTGGGCTGATTGAGTACCTCCCGGCCTATGTTTCAGGATTTTTCTGTAAACTAAAAATGTGATGTCGCCTTCACGCCTACCTCAGATATTGACACCGGGTGGCACCTTCCTCACCAATCTGCCATATCATCTCACCTTTTCACATACCAACCCTACCGTCTCAATCATGGCGCGCCGACATGCCTCACCCGCGCCTGAGAGCCAGCAAATGCTTTCACTCAGTCGTCTTCTCGAGAAGCCGAAGAAAGATGACACGCAGATGAAGGAATTCCTCGCCACGATAAATGCCGATCAGAAGAAGTACAACGCACTACTAGCACAGCGAAAGCTCCAATCGTGAGTCGATCTCTCATCATCTGCAATGCTACTCTAACAGCCACTGTAGCGAGAAGGAACAAGAGCGCCGTCGCGAAGAACTCACCTCCACCCTCTTCGAAGCCCTGCAAACCCCCAACCGACCAGCCAAGGGCAACCCCGAAACCTTCGCGAGCACTCAAATCGCAGGCAACGCAGTCTACACCTCCGTCACCAGCGTCCTACGCGCATCCGAGGCCCTCGTCAACGAATACCAGAGACTAGACGGCATGATTGCGCAACTACGAGAAGAGCAGCCCGACACTATTGCAGACGCATGGAAGCAGGACATCGAGGACACGGACAAGCAGCTCAAGAAGGGCGCTAGAGTTGCGCTGAGGAATGTCAAGAAGGTGCTGGGGGCTGATGTGGAGGACTCTATGATGACGGACGAAGATGGCGATGTGGATATGGAACGAGGCGAGAAGGTTGAGCTGAACTATGGGCTGCAGAAGAGTCTGAGGTATGCGGAGAGGGGCGTTAAGAGGATGGTCAAGGGATTGCCGATGGGTGATGGCTGCTAGGTGTGAGTGGTGTTGTGATGTTCAAGGCGATGTGTGGGTGGGCATGAAGAAGACGAGGTGCATAGGCACGGCGATGGTTCTGACCATCCGTGGTAACAATGCAAGCACCAGCAATCGACGGATTTTGGAGAACTTCCTAATTCGGGGTATACTTCGAACAGCGCAGAACATCAGCGTCCGACCCGCGCAAGAGCGACCTCAGAGCAGTTCTCATGAAAAGACACCAGATATGAACGCTTCGTCACTCTACTCTCGTCACATACAGCCACACAAGAAAACCGCCTTCGCACTTGTCTTAGGATTTGGTGTTCGCACCTCCTCCGTCAGGCTCGGCGGGGCCATGTTCTTCTGACCGACTCGTGTCAGGCTGCGCGTTGCCTCGTCAAGCTAGCGCCTCGCACGGCCCCGCCCACACAGTGCGAAATACCTGTCGTATCATCTTTTCGCAACCTCCAGCACGACAGCGTCGACAATCTACTAACCAACAGTCAAGGTACGTCCCTCCAATATTGCTGAATCTCGTCGGCTCTATACTAACAATACCGCAGATGGGTGCCCTCAAGTGTAAGCGCACACCGAACACCGCAATTGCCCGCTCGTAGCTGATCCGCCGTAGATGTCGAAGAACTTCAGAAGAAGAAGCAGTCGGACATGATGCGCTTCTTGATGCGCGTTCGCGTACGTATAACCGATTGAGCTGGACAAAGGACTCTGCTAACATTGCAACAGTGCTGGGAGGTATGATTATCCCGAGACCCATGTCTCAATTGGTGTACTCGTTGAACTTTGCTGAGAGTGCATCGATAGCTTCGCCAACTTAAGGTCATCCACCGCGCAAGCCGCCCCTCGCGCCCCGACAAGGCCCGCCGTCTCGGATACAAGGCCAAGCAGGGTTACGTTATCTACCGCATCCGCGTCCGCCGTGGAGGTCGCAAGAGGCAGGCTCCCAAGTACGTACAACCGAGATCTTGAACAAGAGGACTATGCTAACATCGTGTTCTAGGGGCGCCACCTACGGTACGCATCACGCAATCGAATTGCTATCGAACGAGAGACTGACAATCGAACAGGAAAGCCTACCAACCAGGGTATCAACCAGCTCAAGTACCAGCGCTCTCTCAAGTCCACCGCTGAGGAGCGTATCGGCCGCCGCTGCGCCAACTTGCGCGTCCTCAACTCCTACTGGATCAACCAGGACTCGACCTACAAGTACTACGAGGTCATCTGCGTCGACCCCCAGCACAAGGCCATCCGCCGCGATCCTCGCATCAACTGGATCACAAAGGCCGTCCACAAGCACCGCGAGGCTCGTGGTCTCACCGCCACCGGCAAGAAGAGCCGTGGTCTCGGCCGTGGACACAAGTTCAACAACACCACTGCTGGAAGGAGGAAGACCTGGAAGAGGCACAACACCCTCTCCCTCTGGCGCTACCGTTAAATGCATTGAGCATATGGTGTGCTTGGTGCAACGTCTGGTCGATTGTTTTCAGCGTATGGGCTGGCGTGAATGGCATAGGGTGTCCTGGGCTACGTAGCTTCCTAGCAGCAAAAAAGCTGTCAGGACTTTCAAAATCATACCGGATTCATGATCTTTACGAAGACAACACTTCAGTTTCTATCTATTGCAACGTGAGATGTCAGGGCTCAAATGTGAAGATGCTGCTGCGGTTGAGGATGGCGTTGTATTGGCCACATTCGGAAGGATCGAGTGTGCCTTGGTATAGCCAAGAGCGAATACAGGACTTTCACATGGGTCGCTGACCGGTACCGGTATTGGTAAGACAGCTGCACCATCGACGTCAGACGCACGGCAAAACCAAGATTAATGCGCTGTACTCGCTGTGACCGTTTCCGTGCATGCTTGGATGATTGCGACATATATGTTATTCGAGAGTCCAGAAGGAATTAATACAGGGTTCTTCTCGTGGCCAGGTCGGGCGTTGCTAAGCGTTGCCGTAGGCCCCTCTCAGCCAAAACATCAGCCCAAAACACATGCAGAGCACCTCGCCAGCGCAACAAGCGACCGCAGCTCCAATAGACGCAAAGGGTAACCACACTCTCTGCCACACTGACGACATGCGGCTGACAGAGTGATTAATCCAGACTTTTGCAGTTTCCGTGGTTCAGCTTCCATTACCATGTTCCGACGTCCACGCGCAGCCAGCATCATCTGAGCAGCACTGCCCTGCCACACGACAAGGCAGTCAACGGGCAACCCCCACCAGGCTGCTTGACGACTAGAGCTGCCTACAAGGGCAGAGTGCGCGCACTGTGCAACCTCCCGCCAGCCTCTTCACTCCCGTCTCTTCGCGAATACCGCCGCCATGGTCAAAGCCGATGCCACGCGAAACTACTATGCCGACCTGAAGGTATCCCCGACGGCCAGCGAGAACGAGATCCGCAAGGCTTTCCGAACGCTGGCGCTACAGTACCACCCAGATCGAAACCCCGGACGCGAAGCCGAATTCGTCGTCCGCTTCCAAGAGATCCAGGCCGCACACGAGATACTATGCGATGCCAGCCTACGAGCCAAGTACGACGCCGACAGAAGGAAATACCGCAATGTATCTGCTCCTGGCCACACTCCCAACACACCGCGAACGAGACCGCCGCCGCCTCCGAGAAATGCATACACGACAACCACCCCGCAAGGCTCGTACTATCGCGCACCTCCGCCGAAACCGCAGCCGCAGGCTCAGCGCCCTCCCCCACCGCAGCAACACCATAGCACATACAACACCGGTGCGGACAGGTTCTCGGGCAGGAACTTCCGCGCGCCACCAACAGCGCAGCGACCGGACACAAAGGCCAGGGATGCAGAGGCTCGCGCGAATGTCTTCACGGCATGGCAGAAGATGAAGCAGCCACGGGGTGAGGACCCTCGGCAGCACAATCCAAGCGCCCAGAGCAGTCCGCACACCAATCCGCAGAACAACCCCAATGGCACCCCCTTTGGCCGCAGTCAGAGCACCAGGGTCCCATCGTCCAAGACTGGGTTTGACCCATCAACACCAGGCGTCGATGAAGGCCAGGCACGGTCAGCGTATAGGAACTATGCCCGTCCGGCTCCAACCCCACCCATGTCCACGACTCCTGATATGGATAGCCATGCCGACGACGTCCCATACTCGGAGGCCAACCGCGTTCGCACACCATATCACTCCCATGTAGCAGGCGAGCGTACCTCCATGTTCGAAGGCCTTGGGCGGTCGTCCAGTGTGCGCAACTCACCAACACACTCGCACCGAGCAAGTTATTCGCAAGATGGGGGCGCCTTCTCAGACTCGGGTCGCAGAACACAAGGGAAGAAGGCCAGCGCGAAGCCGAACCCATTCGCTCACGGATATCCCGACTCTAGCGACGAAGAATCCGACTCGGAAGCGTCCAACATCGGCAACAAACACCGTGACCCTCCACCACCACCTCAAGCCACAAGGCCGCCTCCGCCAACCTGGTCAGAAGGTAACTTCACGACTCCTGATTCGAAACGACAGAGCAACGGCGTGCCAGGGAACATACCCAACAGCTTCAAGAGCAGGAGTGAAGAAAGCATCAACTTGAAATTCTCGCCTTCGGACTGGCATGGCAAGTTCGAAGGCAGTGGCAGTTACTTTGCTCCTAACATGCAAAAAGGTGCCAACGGAAAAGGCCGAGCCTCTCCAACCCGCGGCAGGTCACAGCGCAATGCGACAGACCGCAACCCCTTCAGCACGCGGCCGATGGACCCGCCTCCCGTTGCACCCAACGGACAGCCAATACCTCCTCCTCCACCGGGACCACCACCGGGTGTCAACTTCGCCCCACCTAAGATGGCGCCACACACTGCCAAATTCAGTCCTCAAGCCTGGCAAGAGACGTTCAAGGATCCGAACTGGGTATACAATCAGGAGAAGGAGACATCGCCGCGTCGACCATCAGAGGCTACGAAACGTCCAAAGGCTGCCCGAAAGGCTTCGGTACAGCAGAACGGGGCGTCGAAGCCCCAGGAATCAACCGACTCAGCTAGATCCAAGTACCAGGCCTTTGCAGAAGAGCCAGCCAATGGTGATGTAGATGCCATGGATATCGACCCTGTCCCACCACCAAGCGCGAAGCCCGCAAAGAAGGGAACGCGTACATCACCAAGACTGAACACGGCAGGTGCACAGGCGACACCGAATGGCTCTGCTACTGCACCTTCTTCTGCGACCACTGCAAAACCACCAGCCGAAGGACTGAACGGTCTTGGTCCAGACTTGATCAATCCGGTCGTGGAGCCTCAAAACAACGGACTTTCCGGCTTGGGATCTGTAATGGATGCTCTCCCTTTTCCTTCCGGCGCATCCAACTCACATCCCATCAAGGCAAACGCTGCAAAGAATCTTAAGTATCCAGATATACCTCGTGCACCTATTCCACCTACCAAGCTGGATGTGGCTTCCGTAAACACGTACTTCGACCACATGGGCGTTTATGTCAAATCCTACAGAGCGTACTGTCAAACCCTTACTAGCCACTTTGCTGCGCGGAGCAGCGAGATGGAGGATTTAGATCATCACTTCATCCACCAGCGCGGCGAGACTACCAGGGGAATTGGGTTTGCGAGCTACATGGCCAAGATGGAAGAGGATGAAAGTGTCATGGAAACATGGAAGCTTGCGCAAGAAAAGCACATCACTGCGCTGCAGCAGTGTGCCGATGTGCGGAACAAGACCATGAAGTTGTACCAGCCCCTACAGACCTGAGCCTGGCGCTTTGTCGCTTGCTTTAGTTTGCAGGTGTGCTGACGTGTCCTAGAGCGGCCCGTTGCCAAGGAGAGGGCAGACGCCGGGACCTTCATGACGTTGTCGAAGAGCTGCAGGAGTTCACTTTGAAAGAGACGCAGTCCGTTCCTACGTATGCGGCAACTTCGCGCCGACGCACGTCTAGTTCAGTTCTTGGTATGAGGATCTCGAGTGCGTTTCGCACTGCTGCACGCAGTCCGCCGAATATGGACGGCGGTATCGAGATCTTGACAGGTAGAAGTGCGCCAAAACCTCAGCCACTGCTGTCGAGGAAGAAGAAATATCACGTTCTTGGGTAGCGATGGCGTTTGGGCTGAGCATTTAATACCCCCGCTGCAGCTTCCAGGTTGCTACGTCATTGGATGTCTTCACGGTTGTGCATGTGTAATTGTAGTAATATAGATATCGGTCAGGGTATAAAAAGTAGGAACCCTACAACGTAGTCTTTGGATACACGTAACAACTTCTTACTTCCCTGCATGTCACCCGCACCCTGGATCTGCATCTTGCGCGAACTTGACTCCCGCGGTTGCAGCGCATGACGCCCGCCGACCCGAGGCAGATTAGCAGTTAGCACTAGAAGCACGCGCTTGTGCGGGCGGAAGAATAGACGGCTAAACAGCACGCCGAACTTCCATCCATCTCTTCATCCACAGCGGACACCATTGTACCGCGATTGAGCAATACTAAGTGGTATGACCGTCTTGGATCCAACTGCAATTTGCTTGGCTTCAGGATAGCCGTCCCGCCGGGTAAATAGGACAGCGGCTGGCGGCATCGTGGGGCAGACTACCCCTCCATTCATAAGGGCCCATGGGGAAGGGCAACGTATAGCTATATAACATTGCTGCTTTTTTCTGTTCAATTCAATTATCTATCTCAATATCAACCAAAAACTCAAACACATACATACATACAAAAACACACAATCATGGCAGACAAAGAACCAATCGTAACCCACGTCTTCACCGCCGACCCCTCGGCCCACGTCTTCAATGGCAAACTCTACGTCTACCCCTCGCACGACCGCGAGACAGACATCGCCGACAACGACAACGGCGACCAATACGACATGAACGACTACCACGTCTTCAGCATGGAAGAAGTCGGTGGCCCCGTCACCGACCACGGCGTAGCCCTCAAGCAAGAAGACATTCCCTGGGTGCAAAAACAACTCTGGGCCCCTGACGCCGCAACCAAGAACGGGAAATACTATCTCTTCTTCCCCGCCCGCGATAAGGAGGGTATTTTCCGCGTTGGCGTTGCGAGCGGCGATAAGCCAGAGGGCCCGTTTAAACCGGAGGCTGAACCTATCAAGGGGAGTTTCAGTATTGATCCAGCGAGTTTTGTGGATGAGGATGGTGAGGCGTATTTGTACTTCGGCGGGATTTGGGGTGGGCAGTTGCAGTGTTGGAAGACAGGCAAGTTTGTCCGCGAGGACTATGAGAGTATGGAGGCGTCGTCTGGACCGGCGCTCTGCGCAAAAGTAGCGAAGCTGTCGGATGACATGACGACTTTTACCTCGGAGGTGAAGGATGTTGTTATCCTTGACGAAGCCGGTCAGCAGATCCAGGCGGAGGACCACGACAGGAGGTTCTTTGAGGCGGCGTGGATGCACAAGTATAATGGGAAGTACTACTTCTCGTACTCGACGGGCGATACGCATTTCTTGTGCTATGCGATTGGAGATAGCCCGCTTGGACCGTTTACCTACGGGGGAAGGATCCTCGAGCCGGTGATTGGGTGGACGACGCATCACAGTATTGCGGAGTTCAAGGGGAAGTGGTATTTGTTTTACCATGATAGCAGTTTGAGCAAGGGGGTTAACCATCTGCGGTGTGTTAAGATTAGGGAGATTGTTTATGATGAGCAGGGCAAGATTAAGCTTGCGGAGAGTCAGCCGAAGGTTATGTAGAGGGGAGATTGGGTGGTGGTTGCGATGCGTTGCTATGTAGGATGGATAGTAAGATGGGAGGATGGGTATCATCTCCACCAAAAGAACTTCTTTATCCAACTCCACTTTCCGCGTCGTTCAACGGGGTATCTTCCCTGCTTCACGGGTTCCTCTTCCATTGTCGACAAGGAAACATCATCCCTCACTTCCTCACACCTGCTCTTCCTCTCCACCGCCCTCTGAACCTTGCCCTGCCGTCTCTCCTTCTTCCTCCGTTCTATCTCACCCAACCTCACCCTAATCTCTCTCGCCAAAGGACACCTCAAACACCTCTCATCATCCTCCTTCTCCTCAACACCCTCCTCAACCACAACCCCCTCCCCCCTCCCCAACACCCTCTCCGCCTCAACCCCCGCCTCCCACTCCCCCCACCCCAACATCTCCATATTCCTCACAAACCACATCCTAAACTGCTCATCCGGCAGCTCGCAAAACGGCGCCGGAAACTGCTCTTTCCTGATACTTGGATTAGACAGTATGTTGCCCATTTCCGGTACTAATCCCGCGCCTTGAATACGTTGTCTTGCCCAGCTTGTGCCGATGGAAGAGCAACTAGCCGGTACATTGACCTTCTCATACCGAATCAGTTTGTCGATGCGGAAATCGCCGAATTGAGGGTATATGGGGCCGTCGCGGTATTCGGTCTTTTTTATTAGGAGGCGGGGGAATGTGGTGGGGGCTTGGAAGGGCATTTCGACTAATCCTCTTGCTTCTAGCTTTTTGGAGGGGAGTATGCCGCGGGGGTCGAGGGTGTAGTAAGCGGAGTCTTTGAAAATGTGTTTTTCGCCCTTCCATTTTGGGGGCGAGGCGACGGAGTCTGTTTTCCAGGAGGGCGGCTTGGAGAGGAAAAGGTTTTTGCTGATGGGGGCGTAGATGTTTGACAGGGCTTCTGCGTGGAGAGGGGTTGTGGAGAAGTTTGGGGTGTGGAGGCGGCGGGTGGTGGGCAGGCCGGTTTTGGGGGGTGTGGTGGACATTTTGGGTGGTGCTCGTCGGCTTTAGTAAGAGTAGTAGTAGTGAGAAGTTTTGGAGTTGAGAAAACTTGTGATGTTTGGAAGTATGTGCGGCATGTCAAATATATATTTGGTGTCAAGTTGGTGTTGTGGCATATTGCTCATGTCTTTCCGTGGTTGAGTTAAGTGGGTTGGCCAGTCATGTCTCTCCTAATAGTATCAACTGAACTTCTTTCGCGGATTTGTAGGATACCTCACTATTTCTGTTTCCCAACCAGGGTAGCAACATGTTATCAGAGGTCTTTCGCTTGTTGTAAAACGTGGCTACCGTAGTTGCCTACCCCATGTATCCACTCTGCCGTCGAACACCCAGAACTACTTGAGATGCTCCAAGCCTTATCGAACCCACCCCAGATGTCAGCACACCCACAACGTCGTCTCGTGACATATCCCACCCCTTCTCGCCCTGTCCGTCCCTTCACTCAAACACACTAAACGCATATATCATAATGTAGCCTCCCCATCTCCCAATGATGAACCGTCTGGTCAACCCCATGTTCCCCGTCTCGAAACTTGCATTTCGGTTGCTTGCCTCCACAGTCATCCCGATGACAGGCATGTCCAAAATAGCAGTGAATTCTCCGACAAGCAGCGCCATCTAGACAAGGCTTTATCTGACATATGAAACGCAAGACGCTCATCATGTTTTCGCTGATATCGCTATGATCGAACGGACATTCCACATCATCACATCCGTGGGAGCCCAGGTGGAAGTTGTTGCAGCATGGCTGGCCCCCGTTCCCGTCTACATGAGCTTTAAGCTCGTTGAAACAAGCTTTGTTCGGTGCCGATATGATGGTTGAGTCGACACGCTGATTGGATGCGTTGAGTGGCACGTAGCCGGGTATAGACTGTATGATAGCTTTCTTGTGGTTCGTCCTGAGGAAAAGTAATCCTGGCCAGATCATACTAGCCATGAGAACGAATTTGCACTCCGTGTCATTGATTGATGCAGCCAATCTCTCTGCGAATGGGTGTTGTTAGTCATTCTAAGTGCTTCGTCGCAATACCGACTTACCATCGCGAGCTCGGACTAGACCCCCGCGCCCATCCACGGACACGATTTTACAGTCTTGAAGTCCAGCTAGGTCATCCTTGAACTTAACCATTGGATCCACGGCACCGGCCTTCGTCTGCAAGACATAGGCATTCACTTTCAAACGACAGGAGTCCAAATCCAGATCTCCGCTACTCTTGTAGTATCGTTTAACAGTTGCGCGCATGGCGAGCTCCAGTGCTTCGGCATCAGTGGCTCTCCCTTCATCTCTTCGAACAAGTTCGACATGGATATTCAAAGATGCGTCCTCAAGCAACAGGAAACTGAGTGCGTCGATAAAGATCTCCACATAGGGTTCGCTAGCCATGGTTGAATTGCTGTAGAAACAGGGAATGGATCTGTCTTTTATATTAGCATGGAGCAGGTGAGCTGGGCATAGGTCTTGTCCAGATGACACGCGACGCTTCTGACCAAGACCACACTACCACTGCTGCGTCTATTCCAGCCCGTGCTGCCCTCAATGTTTGAGCATGCAGGCTATCCCTTTCCCTTTCCCAAAGACACAAGAGATACAACAAAAGTGACTGGGCGATGCTACAACACTCGAGAAACATCATGAAATTGCGCCTAGAGCGGCATTCACTATCAACCAACAGACCCATCCACCCAACAAACACAAAAAGAAAAGACGGCGAAAGCCCGGGATATATAACAGATAAAAGAAACCGCACCCCCTAACAATATCTTACACACTCCTCCACAACATTCCACCTCTTCCTCCTCCTCTCAACCTTCTGCCCCTCCCCCGCCTCCATATCCTGAAGTTCCTTCAGCTTCTCAAAGTCAATACTCTCCTTCTCCTTCTGCTCGTTCTTCTCTTTAGCCTCCTGTTCCAACTTGACCAACTCTTCTATATCCTTGAGCCGCGCCTCTTCCTGCTTTTGCCGATGCTCCTCTTGTTCGTTGAGACGGCCTTGCTCGTTGTCCTGCTCGAGCTCATGCAGCCACACGCCCTTGCCATCGTTGAAGACTTCTTTGAGTTGGGGAAGCGTGCCACACACGCCATCGACTTCGCCCCAGGGTAGCCAGGTTTGCTCGGCTTCGGTCCATATGCCACCTCGTCCGCCGCGGTTGTCCCAGTAGCGATCGCCGCCGACGAGGTGGTTGTGGTATCCGTCTGAAGACTGGGGCGCGCGGAAGTAGTTTCTCAGCATGGCGCGTTTGTGGCCTGAGTACCACAGCTTATCCCAGCTTATGTTGGCGGCGGGTGGACGCTCGCCACTCGAGTGCGAGGAGCTGCTGAGGATGATGGCAGGGACGGAACCGGAGTATGTGTTCTGGATCAGGGGAATGCTTTCCCAGGGTAATTTCCGGCTGGGCAAGCCATCGAGCTCCAACGTAAACTCTAGGTTGTCAATGTATGCTGGCTTTTCATTGGGAGACGGGTTGTGCTCGACGAAGTCGGGGCGCCAGAATGGGGTCTTGGTCTCGTTGAGGGCGGTAGGAAGGGTAAGGTAACGAGGGTCTGGGTCGAAGTGGCTGTATTGTGATAAGTCGGTTGAGTTGTCGTGCAAAATAGGAACGAGTTCGTTTTCGACGCAGTAGTCCAAGGGTTGGAAAAGCGCGTGGGTATAGTCCAAACCGACAGAAAACTCATGACGTGTAGTGTTCGAGAACTCAGCGCTGGCATGCTCCAGTCTTCGCTTGGCTTCTGACGTGCTCGCTCTGCCCGTGAGGTATTCTTTGACTTTGGTACCCGTATGCTTCGATGCCACTTCCTCGGCATCTCTGCCCAGCTGCTGCTCGGCGAAGAGAGTCGCGAATACCGACTGAACCGTCTGGGACTGACTTCTCCCCTCCATAAACTTCTCCAGAGCAAACTGGTACAGCATCTTCAAGTCGCTGGCTGGACCCATGACCATCTTGGAGTGAATAAACTTCGCCGGGGTATCTGATATGCGTCGACCGTTCTCGCTTCCGTATGTGCTGTCCGAGAGTATCGATTGAGGCACGTACTTGCAGGCCATGTCGTCGTTTTCACATATCTTCTCTGCGCCGAACACGATCGTCTGGTTGAACTTCTGGTAGCCCTCCTTGTTAACGCCATACTTCTTCAGCAGCCGCATGTTGGCGTCTGCCAAAAGCCTCTTATACTGCGTGACAATCACATCGCTTGGCAGCTGGAACATCGACTGTTGTCCATCCACGATGAGAACCAAGTCATGGCCCTTCACCAGCTTCTCATTACTCAGGTAATGTAGTGTGCTGTTCAGTGTATCCCTGTCCCACTTGATGTCCGACTCGTATGGCTTGTGTAGCTGTACCGCAGTCGGTGGAGGGTAGTGGAGAAGCATAGCAGACAGAGTCGTCTTGCAGAAGCCATCAGTGTCGCGCTCGGCAGGCATGAGGAGGTGGAAGTTCGGCGTCGTCTTCTTGAGTTTCGGCGGGACGTGGTCGAGTTCGCCATTCTCGATCTGCAGCGTCGTGTTCGAGGGGGTCTTGAACGGCGAGTGTACGATGTCGGGCAGGGGCTGAAGATAAGGTCGCCATGGGTAGTACGAGGAGAAGTTGTGGTATCGTGAAGATATGGCCTGTTGGAGTTAGCTTGGACCTCGCTGATGACGTTCAGTTCTGGAGGGGTACGCCGCATTCTCGACGTCGTCTTCTCTGGTGTCTGTAAAGGTTGAACGTACCTCATGATTCCTCATACCCGTCAGTCCAAGCAGAATCGTGAGAAGTGCAATCGTCAAGACCATCATCCTCCCTCTTCGCGTGCACGCCCATTGTACGGCGGCACTTCCAAACTCTTTGGGCGACTGTGTCGGAGACATTGGCAATGCCAGCATTGCATCGCCTGCCATGGTGGGTGTGGAAAGGAAAGAGCGATTCGACGACCTGTGACTCCCTCGCTGGAAGCGGAAGTTGTCATACTTGGTCGACGGCCAGGTGGGACGCGCTTTCTGTATCCCCTCTGTGTGCCTTCCGTCTGGTGTCCCTGCGTCCCAAACGCCAGGGTCTCAACACGGATAGTCGTCGTCACACGTCACGGTCCGATCAAGAACGCGCGTAATCTCCACTGAGTTGCAGTTGTCTGTTTCGAAACAATGCCGCTGCCATTCTGCACGCGCGCGCGATGCTATCTCCATCACTGCGCGAAACATACTCGAAACGGCTTGTGGGTAGTCTTTACATTTCTTAGAAGGAAGTTGAGTTCAAGAGAAAGTTAGCCACGGACACGGTGATAGGTGTACCCCTGTCTGTCGCGTCGCGTCGCTAATCTCAAGGCGGGCTAGAGGCGGAGCCGCTTCGGCAGTCTTTGCTTTGCAGATCCGATGGATCATCAGGAACACTCGTCATAATTGCCGCTGCACATGGCTGTTCGCATGTGAACTACGTGGGGATCCGCTTATGATTGCTGTAGCTTGGGCAACATCTCCAACAATCATCTGAAGAGATTTCAGGAGCTGCAAATCGATGCACCTACGATCTTCCAAAGGCTAAACATGGCAGCTTACAGCTAGCTTCTTTGATTTTCGAGGCTGACAGCAGAGAAATTGTGTGCTGATCTGATCATCCGTACAACCTTTGTGGAGAGTCGTACGACAGCTGTGTCGCAATGGCTTGCGCTGTGATGGGATTCGGTCAGACTCCCTATATACGCAGCAGCCAGTAAGGCTTCACCACCACGAACCGTCAAGCTCCACCCCCTAGAATCCAGCGATATACCGATGCTTATCTGTAACCTCAGTAACCTCGAACTTCATGCCAACCCTGAGATCCCCAACCGACTTTGGCACAGCAAGCATACCATAGCAGGGCTTGTATGTAATCCCCTCGTCGATCCTCCGGTACTTCATCAGCGCATCCCAAGGCTGCGTCTTGTGCTTCTCCGCCGAATCAGGATGTACATTAGGCACCTGGCAACGCGCGCATCGCTGGGTAATGTCCAGAACGATCGGCTTGTCACCAGCATTAGGCGTAATCTTGATCGTCTTCCAGCGATCTTCGTCCCAGGGCGCGTTAGCATCGCCCTTGACGAGGATATTGGGTCGGAACCGGCGGACGTCGATTGTGAGGCCTTCTGCAGCTTTGAGACGCGTGTTGAGTTCGTCGATGCTAGACTGATTGCCGACGAGCACGGGCATCAGGTCGGGGAAACAGGTCGATGCATCTCTTCCTAGGACGCCTGGTGCACCGTTCGATACTAGAGGTCTGGGGTCCTCGGAGACAGGGGGCTTGTACACAAGCCGTACTTCCTTATCGAAGAAGCTGTTGAAGGGAGCGGTCATCTTCGTAGAATACACGCGGGTTCCCGTTGTAGTACTCCATATCTTTGCTGAGTGCTCTTCGGTATTCTCGTCGAGCCATTCCTTAGATGGATGGGCCGGAATTGAAAACTCCAACTTCTCATCGACCGAATTTGGCGCGGGTGCAGTAACGGTAAGGGTATCACTCTTCTCGTCGTAGGTTGGTCGGATCAGTGTCATCTTGGAGTTTTGGCGGATCGTCAGGAACTCGTAGTTTGGGTAGCTCACCCACATCCACTGACGATCTGGCACTGTCAGCATACTACATTTCTCCGATCTGACGATAGAGGCGCACCGAGATCAAGACCTGTTGGCAAGAGCTTTGCCGACTTTACGCTGATGCCGTGGCATGACTTGATGGGGTGTATGAAGAGCCCTGTGATCTCTGTCGCTGCTGGCAAAGGCCCAGCATTATTCTTTGCTTGCTGGTTCTTGTTGAAGTAGACATATGTGAGAATGGGTAAGACGAAGATCGATAGCAGAATCGCGACCTGCGTAGTGGCTGGGAGCGCCATGTTGCTGGCTGTGTTACCGAACAGTCAAGATTATACGGCTTGCGCAGAACCTCAGGAAGGTATATAAACTGTAAGCGTTCCTCCCCAACGAGGTCTTTTTTCTGCAGTGTACTAGTCACACAACTCTCTTCTCGCGTCGTGTACTAATGCGAATATAGCTGTAGGGCGTGGTCTGACAAATTTAGAATCAGTGCATCGGTCCAGAGCAATACCAGAGCAAATGTCTTGCCTAATCGAGTGACGCAGTGCGGAGTTTATAGCTACACTTGACACTCGACGACAATGACGCATCGAGCGGGGAAGGCGTTCGCAACGTAACGGGCTAGCGCTGCCGAAACCTCGCGTGTGCGGCGTCTCCGCGGCAGTCATGCATCGCGAAAACGCGACCGCGACATCCAAACATGCGACCTCCTACAAACTCTCAGACCGCATCCTCTTGCGCAGTCTATCATCACCATCATCAGACTCCTCCCCCTCCCCCTCCCTCCCCCTATTCAACCTCTCAATCTCCCCCTCCAACTCCACACAATACGCATCCAAATCCTGCGCCTGCTTCACCCTTCCCTCCAACTCCCTCACACGCTGCTGTAACCTAATATTACCCTCCATACGCAGCATACACTCCTTCTCCGCAGCATCAGCCCGTTGCTTCTCCTTCTCGACCTCGTACTCCGCGTCTTCCAAAGCTCGTCGCCGCAACTTTTCGGTTGTCTCGTATTCTTTGAGATCGGATTGGCAGCTGAGGAGTTGGGAGTCTTTGTCGAAGAGGGTGCCGCGGAGCCTGGCGGCTTCGCGGCGGGTGTCTGTGCAGGTTTTGTTGGTGCAGCGGGAGGGGGGGTGGGGTCGGGTTGCTGGGGTTGGGGATGCGCTTGACGGGCGTCCTGCTGAAGGCGTGGAGCAATCGATTGCGCTGTCGGGGATGTCTTGCTCCCATTCTTCGCGCTCGCGCATGCGTGGTGTAGACGGCATTGGAGTAGTACTCGCCATGTAGCTTCGATACTCCGCCCCGGACATACCGACTTTCTCTTTCGGCTCGTCGAATCGGTCGTAGTTGTACGGGTATCGCTGATGCAAGGGACCGTTCACAGAGGCGGCGATGGCTCGCTCTTGCGGTGTGTACATGTTCTCGTATCGCTTCATTGCTTCTCGTTGGTAGGCTACTCCCGTAGGCAGATCCGGATATCCTTGGTATGGGCGAAGTTTCTCGATTGTTGACAGGGTGACGTAGGGCCAGGTCTTTGGGTCTTCCTTGTCGTAGGTAGGGATGGCGCGCTTGATGCTCGCGTATAGTCTTGAAGAGACGAAGCTGAAGGTGTCTTCGTAGCGCGGTAGAGGTGCCATCTTGAGTCGCGATCGCGTTAGTCATTTGTGCTGCGTTGACGCCCATGCTCAACCTACCTTGAGAGTTTCTAACGCGGAACGAGGGGCGGGATGCTGCTGCTGTCAATGGGAAGAGGCAGAGGAGATGTCGCTAGCTGTAGGAATCGCTCGTCGTGATCAAACTCCCGCCCTTTCGGTTAGTCTGGGAAATTCGCGGTGAGAGGGCAAGCGATCCTCGTTCACCTTCACCATGAGCCATCTTCACCACTGGTTGTCATGGAACCTTGGTATATTTCTCGTATTGACCGCAAGATCCGTAAATCTATGGAAGATAAGAGTAGGAGACAGAGACACGAGGCTGACCGATGCCCTCTACCAACAAGTCGCGTGAACTAGGTAGAGGCAGCGATGAAAGCTCCGAGACACTTCATTTCTGAGCTAAATCCATATGACGTAGCCACGTCTTTGGTGACCCGGTGGTTCTAGACCGACTGTCGCATTTCCAATTGTCTTGCCAAACAAGCCAGCACACACAGGAACCAAGAACCGGACGCGCGCACATATCCCTCATGTTGCTACTGCATTTCGCAACTCTCAATCTTCGGCTTCTTTCGTGCTGCTTCTGCCCCATCCTCCTCCGCCCTCTTCTTCTGCGCACCTGCACCCTGTTTCTTCTTCTTCATTTCTTCCAAAATCTTGAAGATTTGCTGCTTTGCCACCTTGGTCTCCTGTTTCGCTGTCAAGACATCCTTGCCACTCTTCTTGAGGTCCGATTGCAGACTGGCGATTTCATCTTCCTTCTTCTCTAATATGTCTTTCAGGGTACTGAGGTTGGTGCGCTCTTGGCAAAGAAGCTTGTGCGACTGTTCCTTGTACTCGCAGAGCGCCTCTCCAACCTGGGCGGAGAATCTTTGAACAGCCGTTTGGTATTTGGCTGTCATTGCAGTAACCTTCTTTTCCGCGCTTTCCGCTCTGATGTCTGCCTCTAAGCTCTCTTTCTTGGTTTTGTCGAGTTCTTCTTCCAGTTCAGTTACTCTGCTGTTGGGCACTGTATCTGTGTCGTCCAACATCTTCATGATCTCATGGATCGCTGCTGCTTCGGGCGAGTCATCCTCAGTAACCTCTTCAGTCTCATGATTGGCGACTACCACATCCTGGATGTCCTCCTCTTTCTTCGCAATCGGGTTGCTCTTCTTGACTTGACTCACCCACTCCTTCAGTTCGTCAGATGGTATATGTGGATGCGCTCTCAATTCGCCGTTACGATCATAGTTGAGCGGGTAGTAACGAAAAAGGTTTTTCATAACTCGATTCTTTCGACGGGTAATGGCCCGCTGGCCTTGAAGAGGTCGAAGCCCGTCCATGTCCTTGATGAGTGTCTGCTCGTAAACCAGATACTCCGGAGGGATCTTGCTCTTCCTGTAGTCACTGTTGTTCTCCGTTGCCATGACCTGGCTCACCAAGGGCCAAGTGCGGGGATTGTACATGTCGTATTGCTGGGTGACTGTCTTCATGTGCATTCGCATGAAGTAGCCATCCCAAGAGAAGTCGCCGTCCCAGACTCCGCAGGGCTTGATGTCTTTGTCGCCCATCTTGGAGAGCGTCAGGCAGAGGGATGATGGAGCAGTAGTAGAGGTTTGCACGAAATACGGTAGATGCAGGTGTAAGATACATGCAGGTCAACATGATGAAGCAGTTTTCTTATATGCGGCCTATTCTCACAACCTGGGGATGATGAAGTGAGTTACATCGTCAGATGGCTTCTCTCACTCCCACGTTCTGACAGAGATACGGTGAGATGTCGCAGCTGGGCCCAGACGGCACCAGAACAGTACATTGGAATACACATTCGCATAGTAAATCCAGCAACGATCACCACAACATACCCATTCGTATCCTTCCCATACCATCACGCAACCAAACACCTTAGTGAGACACAAACCCGCGCCACACCCTCGGCCCGACTCGCAGGATGCGTTGCATGTGGGGGAAAGCGCGTCCACGAGGGGGCCAGCCTCACCAACCAGTCAAGCTCGGCAGCGCGCTGCGGCACAGTCACAACGAAAAAGGACCGCCCCCGAAGTCTGACTCAAAATGCAGGTACACACCAAAGAGGGTGCGTCTACAGGGCGGGGGCAGGCGGTAGACAGTATCAGTGACACACATGCAGACGAGGCAATAGCCGTCCGGGGATGCATGGTGCATGTGCAGTGTGCATATGCAGGAACGGGAGTTTGCAGGTAATGTGTGTAACGTGAGTGACGACAGTGCATGGAGTGCCAACGTCGATGGCGATGGTAATGTCAACGGTAACGTTCACGTCAATGTCACGACGAGGAATGCGGGGAATGCAACAATCCACATTTCTAACGAGAGATTTGAATTTGATTACCGTAGTATATACCCAACGCCCCAACCCCGAACCGCAATACCACAGACCCAATGAGGCCGAACCCATGCCCACACCGCGACTCCAACCCCCAGAAAAAGACACCCTATGCCTAAACGCCACCCAAATCTACCTATAATGCAAGAGACAAGATAAGACAAGTCGCCATCGTAAGATGAGGGTATAGAAGTAAAAAGAACACCCATGCCGTGAGCGTGTACATGTTCGGCCCTCGCCCATACGAACAGTCTTGTGTCTCGCGTTGGAAAACGCTGATACATGAGGGGCGACAGCATATAGCGTGTGCGAAGACAGTCGTGATGGTGCCAGACATGGGAATCGAAAGAGTGAAAATTGCAGATGCTGTGAACATAGTGAAGATGATGGTAGTGCGTGCATGTTGCTAGGACACTCAAAGGATGATTAGAGTGTCGGTAGCTCAGCCGCTGAGAGACCGTGAAAGCAATGGCAATGGGATGAAGGAGTGACGTGATGCGACGGTAGTCGCGATGCTGGGCGCAGCGACGCTATAGTAGAGCTAAGCCTTTGCTGAAGTCTTCTTGACGGAGCCTTTGTTGGAGACACGGGTAGGTGTCTTGGGCGACTTGGCGGGCGACTTTGGTGACTTGGGCGACTTAGGTGTGCGGGCCTTGGCTGGGGTCTTCTTGGGTGACGGGGTCTTGCCTGGGAGCTTGGGCAGGAACTCGATGGAGGGGACTTGTTCAGTCTCCTTCTCCTCGAGCATCTGGAGGATGACGTCGACGATCTTCTTGACTTCTGCGTACGTCTTGTTGAAGCCGAGCCACTGGTCTAGCTCGCGCAGGACGTCGATGGGCGCCTCGAAGTGCTTGCCAATCTTGGGGTGCACACTCTTCTCAGCTTGGTCGTTTTTGGCTCCGGCGGCGACTTGACGGGAGTAGTGGTTTAGACGCGCTTCCTCGGACTTCTTGAAGGCGATGTCGTAGGTGGTGCCTGGGAACTGCTTCTCGATGACCTCGAACTGGCGCAGGATGAGCTGCACTTTGCGGATCTGCCACTTGGTCTTGTTGTAGGTCGCGCGCTGGTAGTGCTTGCGGCAGAAGAGAGGCCAGTCGGTGACGTCGCGGGTACACGCCTTGTTGCGGCCAAAATGGTCGGAGATGACCTTGCGCGACAGGTCCTTGGTGTACTGGCCAGTCATGCAGCGAGTGTGCTCGTCGTTCATGCAGAGGAACTCGCGCTGGGAGTCGGGCACGTCTTCGCCGTCGTCGAGAGACTCATCACCAGAGGCGTCGGGCTCGGCCTTTACTCAGTTGATACTCGGTCAGTCTGTAGATTCAATGGTGAAGTGGTGACTCCGCACATTGCGCGAGATGCGTGCAGATGGGGGGG